CTCTCTCTCTCTCTCTCTCTCTCTCTCTCTCTCTCTCTCTCTCTCTCTCTCTCTCTCTCTCTCTCTCTCTCTCTGTGTGTCTGTGTATACAACCTACATCCACGTGGGCGGCCTTGTACGCAAGAGGTTCTGAACACGGGGGAGTTATAAGGAAGAAGATTAAATCATGAATTCATTTTTTCCTGTTTTCCTTCTTTCTTTCTTTCTTTCTTTTTCCTTTTTTTCGCTTTTGCGCTCTGATATGCTTGTGACGATATATATATTGTATATTTTATATATTTTATGCGATATATACACGCGCACAGACACACACACATACACACACGCACGCATACGTATAGAGAGAGGGGGACAAGGAGAGCTATGGTCATGTTGTTGCCCATAACAGTACTTGCACGGGGAATTCTTTCGTTCTATTAAACACTCGTTCAATTTCCCATCTCTTTATTTCCGTGGATTCTCCTCCGACACCGTGACGTGCCTTCATGTCCTCATTTTTGCCCTTTTGCCGGACTCCGAGAGGTTAGTTCTCATACACATTTTACGCACACGCAAAAGTAAGACACAGACACACACACACACACACACACACACACACACACACACACACACACACCGCGTACTGAACGTCACCCCAGTGCATATTCGAGGCTGAGTGGGGGTGTACAGTACGTGTCCAGATTGGGTTTTATGGAAGTGACAAACTGGTTTCCCAAACGTACTGTCAATATCCAGACCCCTGACAAGTCTGCTAGGACTGCAGGGTTGGTTGGTGTGGCCCCTGCGCAAGAAAAACAAAAAATCAAAAAAAAACTCGACCACTTTTTCTTCTCGAAGAGAAAGGGTAGCGCTAACTCTCCGCTAAGTGGTGAGTCCTTACCCCCCTGGACAGACTGTCTGTCCAGGTTCAACTGTTTCAACCTCCTGATTACTCCGTAAAAGTCCGACGAAACAGAATGGCACAGCCCGAGCACGACCCCCCCCATCCCACCCCGCTCCTCATCCCCCACCACACACCGTAACACACACAGAAAACAAAACAAAAGGTTCTCTCTCTCTCTCTCTCTTTCTTTCTCTCTCTCTCTCTCTCTCTACACACACACACACACACACACACACACACACACACACACACAGAGTGACAGATGCGTTTCTTAGACGTGCTGCCGTTCTTGTCAGGGGTTTTGACCGAGAGTCTGCTAGGATTGCAGGGTTGTGAGTAAAGCGGACCACTTTTCTCTATCTGCGAGGGTATGGCTAACTCAGGGCGAGGTTGTGACCCCTTCTCCATCAGTCATTTGCAGCCGGGGCATTGTATCGGGGTGCAACCTCCTGATGAGTCGGTGAAAGTCCGACGAAATTCTCTCTCCCACCCAATGTTACGTTTTTTTTCGTTTTTTGAAGAGTTGTGTATAGCGAACAAGACAACACGCACGGACTACAAAAAAAAAAAAAAA